CACACACACACACACACACACACACACACACATACACACATGTGGGAAAAAAGACATGGGGGTCTAGATCTATAAGGACCTTGAACAGATGCGCAAAGATATTCATGTAAAAAAATATTATCACATAGGAATACAAAAAGATGCAATAGGCTACGTTACGTGCACACAGAGAATATTTTTGTGGACAAACTCCTCATTTAGGCCCTTCAGTGGAGTTTCGAGCCCAGTTTTTTTGTTTTTTTTTGGGGGGGTTTTTTTCGTGTTTTTGTTTTCGATTGTTGTTGTTTGTGGGTGGTGGTTGTTGTTGTTGTTTTTCGGGGGGAGGGGGACTCTGGGTTTTTTTTCTGCATTCTCATCACACTGTCAATGTCTCCGTATTTCTAGTAGGCCTTAACTAGTATGCTAGAATCTAGACGTCAATCATTGGAAAGAATTCATAGTTTTTTACAACCCGCTCACTTTGAAAGGGGAATAACTTTGCCAAAAATTGGAAGGAATAAGTTCACAGGAACTCTACTTTCGTTTTGGGTGTTCGTTTTTATCATGTTAAGTCAAGGAGTCGAGGAGGTCTAAAGTCCCTGTGTATGTGACATAGATCTACTGATTCATAATAAGTGACTGAATCAAGCAGCTAAGAGTGACTCGGTGTTACTTCCTCACTTGTCAAGAGACTTAAATCTATGTTCTGTTGGTAAATTAAAATAAATTATTGTTTAAAGTAAGACAAAGTCGAAGTCAAAGATGTCTGCAGAACAAAAAAAGGGATTCACCATTTACATGGTGGATGCTTTCACGGACCAAGTATTTGGTGGCAACCCAGCTGCTGTATGCCTCCTTTCGTCAGACCAGGTAAATCACACACATTGTAGCCTACTGCCAATAGATCTATCTACCTATAGTTGCCCACAGAGTTTCCCATGAGACTAGGCCTAATGTTAAATGATTGGAAGAGGCTAGCTGTACTTAATGACGGCTAGACTGGCAGTACGGTACTAGAATCTAGATCTAGAATCTAGATCTAGATCTAGATCTATAGACCGTACTTATTCTTAATGATGGCTAGACTGACCGTTTACAAAAAATAGGCCTACTGAATTGTAAATATACATTTTTAGTGTGCAGTACCTAAAGTATTTGCATTTGAGACGAAACCAGGTGCCTTAATGATTGACAGTGCATATGTATTTTAAACCTCCGGTTTTCTAATGTTAATAGGGCCTAAGATAGTACGGCTAGACTGGCAGTCTAGCCGTACTTAAGTACGGGTAGACAGCCAGGCTAGCCGTACTTAATATATTGATGGCTGAATTGTAAATGAAATTTTTAGTTTGCAAAGCCTAAAGTATTTGTATTTCAGACAAAACCAAAAGGTGCCTTACTGACTTGCATGTATTTGAACCTGAATAATTACTAGATTTTAAGTACGGCTAGCCACTTCGTAAATGATTTGGATCTCTACTCTGTTGACATGTCACATTGACCGTCTGTAAAGTTTGTTCTGGTGCTTTATAAAAACAGTGTCTATGTACACGGTAACCGGGCACCTAGCATCAGTGTCTATGTACACGGTAACCGGCAACCGGGCATGTAGTCTCAGTATCACGTAAACGGTAACCGGGCATGTAGCCTCAATATAGACGTAGCCTACACGGTAACCGGCAACCGGGCATGTAGTCTCAGTGTCACGTACAGGGTAACAGGGCAGTTCAAAACTCCAAGTTCAGAAATTGTCATCTGGTGTTGCCTTCATCCCCACCCCTCCCCCGACTGTACCTTTAAAAAAATCAATAATCCCCCCATTCCGGAGCCCAATACTTCGCAGCGCACAGACTTTGAATGAACTTTGGTGACCCCAACCGGTACTCACAATGTGATGCACACGCGCAGGTTCACTGACTGGTCACAATGGCTAGCCCGACTAAACGCTTGTATGACTTTCTTTTTTTTCAGCAAGTGAAGGCACAGGACAAATATTGATTTATTTTCTTTCCGGTTACTGTGTACACGTAGATACTGAGACTAGGTGCCTGGTTACCATGTATGTAGATACTGAGACTAGTGAACAGGGGGGCGGATGCAGAGGGATTTTTTTGTGATTCAGATTTTGGTTAATAGATTTAGGTAACTATATGCAAAATAGGTTACTGCCAAAGTCGAGCAGTTTTGTTTTTTCGCTGTAGGCCTACCTTTTGAATGCATTTCCAAATGAAGTCTAGTCTGGGAACGTTTCCCCAACTATAATTCAAGTATCTGAATTTTCAGACAAAGTGACTAAAAATTTCTAGCTCTAGAAATTGAATTCGATGAAAAAAAAATGCTTGTTACCAGTCCTCGCAGAACGGCAGAATGAAAGATGACGCCGAACTCTCGGAAATAACCAACAGAACTCAAGACCAGAAACCGTTCGGAAAAATAGAGTTCAAGTTTATTAAATCCCAAGTGTTCGGAGAAAATAGGCACTTCGTTATTAAATGGCTTTCGTTATTAGGCTAAATCCTTACCTACCCCCAATGTCCAAGTCCAACAATGGCCCAATTTTCTAAATTCTTTTCCTTTTCTTTTTAAAATTTATATTTATATCTATTCATTTTAATTTTGTTAAATGTCTGCACTCAGCATTTATTATGAACCCCAGTGAACCTTCTCTTCTACACTTGGACTATAAATTATAAATTCATTACCCCCGAGGTCCTTTCGTAAGAGGAGGATACTCAGTCCTTAAAGTACGAGCTCAAAATGTTCTCTAAGGTATGATTATAATAGAATAATTTTGTTTTTAAAAAGGGCTTAGTGGAACTGTAGAGCATGTAATGCGCTATTATAAATATATGCAATTGTTTTATTATAATACTATTATATAATATTATATTATTATTAGGCTTTTTATTGTTGGCTGTAGTAGTAGCATTAAGTGTCCTGAGTTATTGCCTGAGAAGGCAAGAGATCGGATAGATGGACGAGTGTTTATAATATAAAAGTCATGGAAGTCAAGAGAAACATGATGGGATGCAGGACAGTCAGGGAAGGAGAGACAGAGATCAGGTCTGTAGGCCTATCACTAAAGGCAAACAATAAAACATTTTAGGTTCCCAACTAACTTTTTAACACCTTTACAAATGTGTTTTATAACTCACAGGGCTAGCTGCTGACTATGCTATTTTATAGCCACTAGAACTTTCCCTTAAAGTAATATATATATGTAAAGCAGGCTAAAGTGCAATTTTATATCTTTGATTGCTGTGTAATATTTTGATTAATATTAATGTTTTCCGTTGTTACATTTTCCAGGCTTATAATGATGCCACAAGCTGTGTTCCTCGCAAACTTTTTGCAACTAATTTTAACATGGTTTTTTTCATCTCCCTAGCACACAAACCCTGAGACCAAGCAGGGGCTCTACACAGTTGGTCAAAAAAATTTACGGATAGTTGCAAAATTTATAATATACTGTGAGGTGCAAAAGAAATGCGAATTTTTATTACAACACAATGATTGACAAAATACAACACATAGGTTTCAAGTTATTTGTTGTGTTTATTAGCTGAAACTTTGCACACTTCTTGAGTGACATAGCTGACATGAACTGAGGTTCCAGCACGTTCATCTGAGCTCACGTTGACCTTGACCTTGGTGAGCAAACTTAGTAACGCGTATGGCCTCCATGTGCAGCGATTATAGCGAGGCATCTTCTGTTCATAGAGTTAATCAAATGGTTGATCTGTCCATTTTGGATGCCACCGAAGATCTGGATGATGGTTGCAGTCAACTGGGCTGCTGTTCGAGGCCGTGGCTGCGTCTGGTTAAGCTGTCTTTAGATCATGTCCAACAAATGTTCAATAGGGTTCAAGTCAGGTGAGCGAGGTGGGTGTGCCAATAAACTAACATTGTTCTGCGCCAAGAAGTTCTGGGTAGCACGTGCGGTATGTGGTCGTGCGTTGTCTTGTTGATATAGGCAGTTAGGATGGCTCTGTAGAAAGGGCACCACATGAGGTGCTAAGACTTGTGCAATGTAGCGCTGAGCCGTGACGCCGTTTCCACGTCCTGGACCAATGTTCTGGAAGATGACAGGTCCCACTCTATGATTCAACGCCATGGTTCCCCATATCATCACGCTCTCGCCTCCCCAGGGGTCACGCTCCAGAATGTTATTGTTGTCATAGCGAGTCGTGTCTCTACGCCACACACGGACACGGCCATTCACTGGATCGACGCAGAACCTGCTTTCATCACTGAAGAGGACTCTCCTCCACTGTGCGTTCTGCCAGTTGACGTGTGCCTGTGCCCACTGTATCCGTTGCTGTAGATGCCTTGGTGATAGGACAGCTCCCTGGTAAGGACGCCTGCAGTGAAGACCGGCAGTCACTAACCTCCGTGGCACAGTCCAGCAGCTAAGTTTGCTTCCAGTCGTTCCCATGATTGTTCTTGCAGTCTCTGCACCCGGCAGAAACGGATCGCGGCGGTGCCGACGAATGATGGCACAATCATGGGCCAGAGTTGTCCCCCTTGGTCTTCCGCTTCTTGGTCGATCTGCCTTGGTCGCTGTCGCTTGTAATCGGTTCCGAAGGTGATAAATGGTGCTTGGGTGGACACCAAAAACCTGGGACACCTGTGCCGCCAGTCGCCCGACAGCTCTTTCTCTGTTTTCCCTTGATAACCTTGGCATGTCTGTAGCTCGTCTGTTTCGATATGAATGCAACACTTCGAGGCGCGGATTTTATAGGCATACCCCCAGGACTGAGTGAGCATAAACTCACCACTGACAACAAGTTGCAAATGTGTCCCAGTGGTGAGTGATAACTCGTGAGTTGTGTATTGCTTACGCAGCCAATGACATCTTTGCGATACTCAAAAATGTCCAATCAAGACGCTCGAGGCAAGTGTTGAGTGATATGAGTTCACATCACACAACTATGAACTCAGCATTGGGCGATTACAACAACATAAAAAATTCGCTTTTTTTTTTGCACCTCACTATAATATTATACCTATATGGGGACAAATATATACATAAATTTATCTTTTAATTTGAGGATTTATTTTAAGCAAATATTTGTGGCTGAATCATAGTTTTTTTCGTAGTTATTGCAGCTCAGGCTAATTTAGTTTCTTGAATTTTTTAAACTGTTTTCTTCTTTGGGAGCAATAAAAACAAAAAATTAGTATAGGGCCATGAAGTCCACAATCTGTAGGCCTTTGGCTACCGTTACAGTCAGGAAATATACGTTTGCATCATGTAATAAGTAATTATATGTTGTATTGGTACTTATTTTTCTCTCAGGCACAACAGCTTAGTGACAGAGAACACCAGAACATTGCTGCAGAATTGAATTTACCCGTCACAGCTTTTATTGTATCAAACAATGGAGATTTTACTGCAAGTAAGTGTCTTCTGAAAGTAAAATGTCACTTCACATACATATTGGATGCTGTGCAACTGTATTGCAACTTGACCTCATTCAACTTGGTTTTAGATAAATTCAGAAGGTGATGGGCCTTTTTTGTACCCCTTTTTTGTCCCAAATATTTTATCCAATTATAAGATAATAAATGAGCTGTTTCAATGTTGCTTAGTTATGTCATTCATTATATATAAAACGCCAAAGCAGAGTGTTGAATTTTTTATTTTGTGTTCTGACATGTTGTAGGTTACACTTGCTGCACGGTACTTGTTTTTTGTTTGTGAAACCTCTTTCAGTCAAAGTTTCATCAATCATATTATATCTATCTGTATTGATTCATGTATTCTAATGACCACCTATCCAAGACAATTACCATTGAAAACGACCACTTACATCTTCTCCCTTGGATTTTTTTATCTAATATGTAATAACACTGTTCAAGAGGACCACCTATGATGACCACTTTTCTCCCCTACAATGGTCCTGGCAGGTTCCAATGTATCTTGATTTTTACGAGATGCTCTTATGTGTTTCTATATGTGAGGCATTGTGGTGGAATCAGGCGCTCGTCAAAATAATAACATCGGAGAAATAGGCATTTTTCCACCAGTTTGGAAATTTCTATCGATTTTCATTTTTTGGCTCAGCACCTTTAATGCCCATTAAATAACACATTTCTGTGTGGATTTTACTGAAAAATGTTGATTAAATAAAGGCACAAAGAAATATACATTTTCTGTCCCCACTGACTCTTAAGATAAGGAAATAACTCATTTTTGGCGGCCATTTTCTCACTAATTTTTATTTTACCTCTGAAACCTGGTGACCCTCACCTCTCTTAATAACAAATATTTTGACTTCTATTTTACATAAATTGATATTGTTTTCACCAAAAGTAAGGCAAATGAATAGGCTTTAAGAGGATACCAAAACGCCATAATATAATAAATATACTCTAAAATTGACGAGCGCTTGATTCCACTCTGCGTCGTGACACATATATCATATATACCATTATGAATATATTCTTACCTTCTCCTTAATGTTACTGGGCTTTGGATGTAGAAGAGATCAGTGGTAATGGTATTGATATAAAGTCTTTCTATGTTGAGAGGGATTATTTCTAGAAAAAAAATTATTTTACCTTTTTAGCCTCAAAGTTCGGCCTACGATGGTTCACAACTACCAAGGAGATCCCCCTTTGTGGTCATGGCACAATGGCAGCTTCTGCTGTCATTTTCAATGCTGTGGGTAAGTAGAGGAATCTTTAAAAAGTTTTCAGATATACTGTCATATTGAATACCATTCTGATGTTTTAGTGTTGGGGTTCCAGTTGAGTTTAATCTCAAGTTTGGACAATATAAACAATACAAGCACTTCTTCTAGCGACTAATTTTCTGTCTGATTTTTTTAAAACCCTGTTTTGAAAGATATCATTTGCAAGTACATGCTCTCTGATTGCTTGAATGATTCTTATTGCTGCTAATGAAGAAACATGCAGTGCAGTATTTTAAAATGTATATGATAAGTAAGTTCAAGCACTTTGTTTTAAAAGAGTTTTGAAACGAATTGTGTCATCAACTCAAAGTTTTTATGTCAGGTCTTATGACTGTTGATATTAAAATGGAAAGAGATTTGATACGTATCAAATTTGTTTGTGTTTCTCGCAAGACTCTTTTGTATATGTTTGTGTTATTTTGTGCCTCCTTGTGTTTATATGGTACACTGTAACTTTCAACTGTATACATCATGACCTTCAGGAAACACAAATGAGCAGATCGAATTTTCCTGCAAGAGTGGTCTACTCAACGTGGCTTGTGCCAGCAACGATAGAATTTCCATGAGCTTTCCTATGAACCCATCAACACCCATGGTAAATTTTAGTTTACAGTTACAGTATTGCATTTAGTAATTCTGTGATTTCTTTACTTGACATCATGTTCATCTTGTGTTGTTGTTGTTGTTGTTGTTATCGATCCAGCAACAGCTGGGCTCTCGCCCTTCTGTCCAATGCCATGTAGTGATAAGTGCAGGTTTGCTGCAGTTGCTGTTAAGTTCCATAGAGTGTGTTGTCAATGTTAGGTCTCGGAGGGAGAAGGGTAGCTCTGATGTCATTTAGGGCTGTGCAGTGGAACAGGTGATGATACACAGTCTCATATGCATAGTCACACAAGGGATACATTGGGGGAAGTTCCGGGTTTATTCTGTTCAGGTGGAAGTTGAGCTGTATATGTTCTGTTCGTAGGCGGGTTCATCTTGTGAAAACTTGCTGTCTAGATAGTTAGCTTACTGAGTATTCATACTGACAACAACCTATTTGATGATTGATATGTTCAACTAGCAAGTAGCCTATGAGAGATGTAAGGGTGAATGGTAATAATGATGATTTGTATTCTCTTCTCTTATTGACTATTTTTTAATGTATGCTTCTGAATCGAATGGCTTGTTTAGTTTTGTGCATTCTGTCTTAGAGTTGCCAAAGTTGAAGGGTAGCAAAAGAACCAGCAGATTGTGATAAAAATAAAACAACTAGTGACAAATGTAAGGTTTTGTCACATAAGTGAAGAATGTTTCAAACAGTGATACATAGATCAAGGTTTGTCTTCACTGCTATGTTTGCAATTTGTTACAATATTGGTATGTGTATGCCATATTTTTTTTCGTCTATTTATACATTTGTAGTTGTATGGAGTGCGTACTTAGTGACTCCCCAATGACTATGAATTACCCTACTTGCTATGTAAGTATCAGGCTGGGGGAGATTACCAAAGCCCACTTTTTGTAATGAAAAAAAGGCACTGTTGTTGCTGTTAGGTCTGTTATTTTTATACAGACACTTTTTCTATTTCACAGAGTCAAGAAGAAGTCAGAAAGCTGTTAGAGGTAAATTAATCTTTGTTCATAAGTCATGGAAAGTGTTGAACTCTGAACATTTTCACTTTCCCTTCTTTTACTGGAAAAGTGAATAAAATCCCCTAACATTTGCACATCCATTCATATACTCGTAATCTTTCTGTCTCTAAGGGTGATATTGACCTCTGTACAGTGCAAAAAATTGCAACGGTGTTCTAAAATTTTGCTCGGCAGTTTTTGTACAGCTCCCTTTTTAAACTACCATGATAAACATTGCTATGGATTAGATGACGATATATTCTGTTCCTAGATATTTGGAGCATCATGGGGGGGAAAAATCTTTATGTGACCTTATAACATTTCAGTTATTGTCAATATAGACTTACACCATTGATGCGATAGCTGTTGAAATTTTGCTGTTTGTTTTTTTCCTTTTAAAGTTCTTAATTGAGGATGAAATAAGCAGTAGATATCGTTCATACCTATGTCTATTATTAGAAAATTTGATCCTAGATAAAAGATGAGGGGGAATGGGGGAGAGGAGAAGGATGATAACAGAGATGGGAGGTAGGTCTGAGGTAGGTCCTGCGTCTTAAACAAGTAACATTTTGTTGAAAGCAGAGAAAGACAAGGAACCAAAGGGTGATTTCTGTGTGTTTTGCTTTATTTTGTTTTGAAAAATGCCTCTGAAGTATTAATTTTTACTACTGTTAGGTCACAGTTGGTAGCCTTGACCTGATCCAGGATGTTGAAGTCAGCGAAATAGGAATGCTGTTGGTCCGGCTAAAGGATGAAGTTTCCAGGTTGGTCCTTTCTTTCTCCTCATTTAATTTTCTCATCTGAAGGTCAAGTAATTTTGTTTTCTTGAATTTAAGAGTTTCACTTTCTTGAGAATTAGCTGAAATACATTGAATGGCAGAAAAGAGCTGTTTCTCACCCCTGTATCAGAAGTCCATAGCTTAAGAAAGAAAACATTACAATAGACGTTTTATTGAAATGGTTTAGATCTAGCTGAGTATCAGGTGGCATATCCCAGATAGGTGGCTTCAGCATTGAGGGCCAGGCCGGTTCTCAGTGACGTGAACGAAGATAATAATAATAATAAATCACATTTATATAATGTTCAACCCTGATTAATGTACACAGGCTCTGAGAGCTTTGCAATACAGTACAATGTACAACAGTAACATAAAACATGTTCTGACTAAAAGAAAATCACTCCAAACATTCATCTTATTTATTTAAAAACAAGAATGACTGCAGCTGACATTTGAATGAATCAAAAGTTTTGATCTCCCTTGAAGATCTTAAAGTACTTGGCAAAGCTTTCCAGATCTTGGGGCCTTGACATTCAAATGCATAGTAAAGCGGTATACTTAGTATTGATTAGAAAAGCGGGGATAGACAAATGTGCTGAACGGGTGATGGAGCATTCTCACTTGTGCTCACTACTTTGGCCGACAATTAGCCTTACTTAACTTAAATTCAATGCATTTTTATTTGTTGTTTGTTCTTACTCACTCGTATAACAAAGGAAAATCACATCTTTAGTTGCAACAGAAATAAGAGACATCTTCCTCATAATACTACCACTTTTGATATATTTAGCTCCTAGGAAAGAAGATTAATTGACTCAATCCAATTAGCTGTAGATAATGAAAGCAATCTGTTACCTATAATAAATAAAGTTGCTATTTGTACATCATGATGACAACTTTGAAGTTTATCACTTCATATGTCTTTCGCTCTTCGAGATACTTTGTTGAGATAATCTCTTCATCAAAGATACTAGCCAATGACATAATCGCACCCTTAGTAATAACGATATCAATATGAAAAATGCCTGAAAAGCCCCACAAAATCACCAATAGTCGGTGTCTGCACAATTTTTCATATTCATATGTTTATGAAAAGGAACAAAAAAACAAACAAGCAGGTAGACTAACAATATAAAGTCACAGAAGACAAGAGTAAGAAAATGTAACCCATCTCACGATTAATGCTATATTATTAAAGTAAGTTCTAACTGTCTAAAGTGGCACTTTGTCATGAGTGTGGTAAATAACAATAAAATGCATAGACAAAGAAAGGGACCACCTCGAGCTCCGCTGAGCAATACAAATGTTGTGTTATTATTGCAAGATTGCAGATGGTTGTCATTTTAAATTTAGCTTTTGCTGAAAGAGCTCGAATTTGAAAGCAACCCTTTCTTTGATTGAATATGTTCATTTCATCAACATCAATAGCTTTAGACTTAGAAAAAGAAGCTCGCAGCTAAAGGGATTTGAAAACAACAACAACGAACTGAACTTTCTGTAGTTCTTTGCTCTCTTCTTCGGTGCTGGCGAGTCACAACATAATATGGTCATACCGGTGGTGCATCTTGAAATAAAATGATATTGAATTTTTTTTTTTTATGAAGGCTCTCAAAGAGCATCTGAGGGCACCATAAACTGTCCCACCCGTGCCAAATAATTTGATTCTTCTGGTGGGAAATGCATGAGAGCAAATTACCATTTCAGTCAGTTACATTTTCTGCTGTTGTAGTAAGTACATAATACATACATGTAGATTAATTTATTAGGATACTTTTGACACCCTTTCACTCTTTTGTTCCAAATCCTTTGAAAACCTTAGTTTCAATAAGAGTTGTACAGCACCAGCAACTCAGAACTCGTATAAGTGCCAAAAATTAGAGATCATGTTACTGGAGAGTAACATACAAAGTAAAAGAGAAGAGTACGCAGATAGGTGTGTGATAGGAAGGAAGGGACAAAGTATACTAGAGTGCCCACCAACCACCCAGTTTGGAAATCTATAATATTTTTATTTTGCTGTCTGCTTTTTGGCTGGCCACTTTTTACAGCCCCACATGCAACGCTTTCTTACCATGTCTCTGGCAATCACAATGTATACCAGCCGTAAACTTTTTCACCGTCACATTCAAGGTCAAGATGAAATAAAAGTTGAATCTTGCTCAACACTAAAACACTCAATATATATACACACAAGTTTAATCCTCAGAACTGAGGAAAGTGTAGAAATTGTAATAGTAAATCCTAACGAAAATAAGAATGTGCACATCCAAGAGCAATGATAACAATGCAGAGACTGGGAGACTGGCCATTAGACTAGACTTTTATTACACTACAAAAAACTACACACTAGTCTGGTCTACACAGCGAGAATGCTCCAGCACCCCTTTCAGATTTGTCTATCACTGCACCACTTTTCGCATTGATCCTATTCCTTGTTCACTGTGGATGTAACCCGGAGTAACAGGTCATCAATGCTGGAACCACCCGGCTCTGTGTGTGGCCTGTACAAGCAAGAATGTTCCATCGCCCGTTTAAGCGCATTTGTCTATCGCCGTTTTGCGCACTGATCTACGTTCGCCCGACTGAGAACAAGGTCGGCCAATGTTCTTACTCCGAGCGTCTAGGGACCGGCCCTCAGTGCTGAAGCCACCTCTCTGGGATATGTGGCCTTATACTCAGAAAGCCTAAGTTTAGATCTATACGCTTCAGAGCTTGACCTTGTGATTTACATGATGTATGTCATTCGGATGTTCACCAGATACAGTGGAACTTGCTCAAACAACCACTTGCCCAAGACAATCACCCTTACAGAAAGAAATCATAACAACACTGTCCTAGACGGCCGTCTGTCTAAATCAGTTAGTCAACCGCTTTTCTCCTCGATAGCTGGTCATCGTCTTGGATAAGGTTGACTGTAGTTGATTTTTGACAGATGTCTGATATACACACATCACTTTTCCATGACAAATACCCCCTTGAGAAGTTTTTGGTTAGAAAAAGTTGAAAAGATCTATGGCTTTACAGATATTTCAGATTAGACTATATGCTGAGTCAGTTTTACCTTCACAATGTTGAAAAGGATACAAACCTCAAACATGCTATATATCTCAGAGAGACGCTGGAGAAACTGAATCCCCCATCTGAGCTCATGGTGTCGGCCTACAGCAAGGAAAACTTTCATGGATTGGGGGTCACTGTGAAAGGCTCAAGGGACAATGGCTGTGTGAACAAGGAAGGTCAGGTGTATGACTTTGTGTCCCGCTTTTTCACCCCATGGCAAGGGGTGCTAGAGGATCCTGTGTGTGGTACGTTGTCTGTCACCCACCTGACAAAAGATTGTCGTAGTCAGCAATTTCGTCTTTTTTAAATGTTACTATTGTTACCTTTGCCGTGTGTGTGTGGTATGTTGCCTCTTGTTCGTCTCATATATACACATGTCAAGTTTGTCTTGCTTCAACTTTGACAGCATCGCCTTCAGTTGAAACAGAATGGGTGCTTGGTTGACACTATGGACAAGTTTTCTTGTTCTCGTTCTATTTCTTTTCACATTAACATTACCATTATTACAATTACCTCTCTGTTTTTTACAAAATAAAATTTAAAATAGTGTTTGCTCAATGTAAACTAAAAGTCAGTGACTTGTGGTATGCAAGGCATTTTCTTGTCGCAGACTGCCAGACAATTGGTCTGCTTTAGGTATATTGGAGTAGATGCACCCCATTATAAAAATTCAATGTTGTAAATATCAGTACAGGTAATAGAAGAGCTGTCTGTGCTCAGGTCTTCCAGGTTTTAACATTTACAGCATCATCATCATTGCCTGTGGTCCCACCTTGGACATGAGCTGCCCCCAAGAGCTCTCCAGTCATCTCTATGCTGGGCCAGTTTCTACAGCTGTCTCAACCCTCTTTTATCCCCTGGCACCTTTCGGCACTATATGTTCTTTGGTCAGACTCTTTTTTGTGGGTGGTTGATGGGTGCTCTGGTGTGATTTGCTTCTTTTTTCCTATGAAACATCTATCGTCCTTATCTCCCCTTCTTCTTTTTTATGTTTGTTACTCTCTTGTAACACCTCTAATCTTCTGGCGCTCACATGACCTTATGCAGTCGCGAGCGCTATAAAACCTCTACTTAAACTAAAACTCTCTTTCTTTTTCCTTACAGATTTCAGATTCATTTTATTCTTTTGTTAACTTTTCTGTAGCTTGGGTTGTTTTATAGGGGGGGTAGGCCTAGCTATCCTCTCACCCAACCCTACTTCTTTCCCATCCGGGTTTGGGACCATCCTTGGTTGAGTTATTTACAGCATACTGATTCAACAAATTATTTATTTAAACAGTTTTGAGTCTGAGGATACTTTTTTAACTGCCTGTCAAAACGATAGCTGCAAGTCATGTTTTGATGCTGACACAAAATTTTGTACATTATGCTCTTGGAGCCCTGGTCACCAGTGCTTTCTAGAGTCTTAAACCTGATCTTCCTCGTGTGGAGTGCTGGATTTACACCACCTCACACTTAGGTGCAGAATTTGATCCATCCTGCTAATCTCTCATTCCAGTGTTGAAATGGCATCTTTTCTCTGTCCAAATATATTGTTCAATTTCCCGCTCTCATTCTTGCCAATCTGTTAACTGAAATTTCAAGTCTAGCTAAAATGGAATCTCTGAAACTCCACAGTGTGGGAGCCTGCCTTCAAAATTACTTATTTTTGTTTCTAATCAAGTGAGAAATTGTTACAAAAATAGATTTTAAAAAGTTATTATCTTACCTTAGGGAGCTAAGATGATGGGGGTTTTTTGTCTTCTGTTTCCAGGGGCATGGCATACTGTGAATTGTGGCTACTGGTCAAAACAGTTAGGAAAAACCGATCTGTATGGTAAGTTGTTCACTTACTTGTAAAAATGTGTAGGTTCTTCTCTTTTGTAGCCTTGGCTAATAAATTTTTTCCATAATCAAAAGTAGCAAGGTAGTAAGTTATTTTTTGTGTTATGTCCTTTTAATCCTTTAATCGAATGCAAAGGAACCATGATGTTACTCACCCTGACTTTTTCACAAATTTGGTTTTAGTACTTCTGGTGACTGGACCCTCTTTTTTTAGAAATACAAATACAAAGAAAGCTGCGAGGTCAGCTCATCTTTAACTTTCTCATTATCAACTTATTTGTCTTAAAAGTCCAGCGTAGTCCACTTGCCTGCTGATCAACTTTCAAAATTGATGTCACGTAATGTAGAATTAAGGATGTGGTAGGTTGTTATGTTGCTTGTTCACTATTGTCTTTATAAAGTATAACTCGGATTGCTCGAATTTGTTGGGACCGGCCTCGGTACCGTAGTTCGAGGGATATGACGTGAATAGCGTTATGGCATCGGCTGTGTCAGAGAATCAAGGCAAGCAACAAAGATTGGGTCGGAACAGAGATTTTTCTTTTTTCGGCCATTGTCTAAGATCAGATAGGTTAGATCTATGCCTATTAACTTGAGAGATTGAGAATGAGAAACTCGATGAGCAACGCTTTCGAGTTCAGTCGGTAATGAGCCTGCTGGTACCAAGACAGTTTAGTCGTGTGGGTCAGTGTGAGCGGTCATTAGTCTGCACCAATCGAACGCTGCCTTTTCAAATTTTTCAGAACATTAACAATTTGATGAAATAAGCATATCGCAACAGTAATAAACATTTGCGATGATGAAACAATGCAGCCCTACCCCATCTCTCCCACCAAGCACGCAGTCCTTTGCAAAGAGGGGTGGGGCGGCCGATCATGTGATGCAAAACCCCTCCTCTCGCCCACACAAGCCAGGCTAGGCCTAGGACCTAAGCTGACACTGAGGGCATGCGTGTTGAGTAACGTTCTAAAAAATTGCATAGCTGCTTCTGGGGGGCGATATTTTACCGACTTTGCCTTTTTTTGTTTTTCTTCTTCTTCTTATCATTATTTGGTCTCAAGTGCACCTCAAAGGACACTGACTTTGGACCTCTACGGCGGCGTAATTAGTTTGACTATTCCGTGTTTGTGTTTGATCTTAGCGTAATTTTCTTGCAAAGATAAGAAAGAAAAAAACCGGGACCGCAGGCAGTTTGGCGGATGTGTGATTTTGAGTAATCTGTGTTCGTCCTCTCGGGCTTATACTTTTTCTCAGTTTGTTGGCTGTTGTGACACAGATGGATGTAGACTTGTTCTTCTTTAATATTGAAACCCAAATTGTTTCTGAATTGCTTCTTACACCTTCCAACTAAAAAAGATTAATGTGTCCCACATGCTCATAACACCTTATGCAGTTGTGTGAGCTCTGTAAAACACTCCCCCCCTCAGTACATTGTGTCCACACTTTTTACAGTGACATTCTGATTATAAATGTTTCAGAGCACCAACGGCTCAATTTTATTCATTCTTTTCCTGCAGACTGCTTTGAGCCTACATGACAGGGCCATTCAGGGCTTTATGGAATATTTCCCATCAGGTAGACAGGAATATTCATTTACATTTTTTCTTCATGTGGGATTCAGTCTCAAATCTTTTGCATACAAGATGAAGAGTGTAATCATTACACCACAGGATCCAGTAAGGATTTTCTATGAACATCTATGATCATAAAGAAAGAGATTCAATGTTGAGTGGTTTTCAGTTTTACATTCTGTGTCTTTCAGTACGCCAGTGCTCTTCACGTGGAGGTGATCTTTGGTTGACCGTCGGAAAAGATCGAGTGACCATCATGGGACATTCTGTCATCACTATGAAAGGACAGTTCTCCTTGTGACCAGTCAGGGTTACCTAGAGTGAAAGATAACACATTCCAGTGCCATAAACTGTGTTGGCATACGCTTGTTTAAAGTTAATGGCTAATATTAGAACTCTGCTTTAAGAATGATTAGGTTCTATCTCTATGTTCTGGCTCTGGGGTCTACTACTCTTCTTCTCCCTCATCTCCTCATGATTCTTCTTGTTTTGCTTTTTCTTCTATTTTGTCCTTATTTGTAAAGATGATTATTATACATGTTATCATGGGCATTATTATAGACGCTATTAATTCTCTAATTATGAAGGTGTAATTACTTTTTGTTATTGTTGTTCGTTGTCAATTTGTTCGAGTGAAAAAAGTCACTACATCAGCTGGCTCTGTATTTGACACACATGAACAACATATGGAGTAAAACTATAGAGGTCTCTACATCCTAATTCAAGTTGAGAATATGAGAAGAAACTATATTCATAGCAAAGAAATACCTATGCAAGACTTTTGCAGAAAGTCATAGTCATGGATAAAATGTACGGTAATGTTAGAATTATCATGTGTATTGCATGGAAAACTAAAATCCAACTACGATTAGTTATGTATCTTTGATTGGAACAGAAATTGAAAAGAGAAAAGTATAAGAAATGAGAAACAAAGTTCTGAACACGACCTTAGGAATGTGTGTTGGAACCTCTAAAAAATAAAATGGAGAAAAAATAATGTTATGCATATGTGTCTCAACTCATTGGATTCGGACGTTCGTCAATTTTTTGGGCGTGTGGCCTTATTGGTTTCATCATAAAGATTGTTCATTTGTCTTGATTTCGATGAAACAAATACCCATCTATCTTGAAAAATAGTGAAGATATTTGCCATTGAAGGAGGTGGGAGTCTCCTGGTTTCAGAGGTAAAATTAGCAAGAAAATGGCTACCAAAATATTGAGACTTCCATGTTGTTGTTGTTGTTTTCAAATCCCTTCAGCTGCGAGCATTTCGCTCTTGACAGTGAGACTTCCATAGCTTGAGGGTCTTTGGAAACTGAAAATGTACATTTTTTTTGTGCGTTCAATCAACTTTTTCGTGAAATCAACACAGAAAGGTGTTTTAAAATGGACATCAAAGATGTAGAACCCAAAAATGAAAATTTGATAAAAAATCACCAAACCAGCAGAAAAATGTTGATTTCATGGATTTCATTATTTTGACGAGTGCCTGATTTCACAATGATGCTTCACATATTGTTCTTTATTACATGTTAAGGCATCAGACCCACTCTGCTTGTAATTTGAATATTCCTTTTCCTGTCACCTTTAATTTAACCCACTCAGTACCATAATGGCCGTAGCCGGCCGCTTCCGTTTCATAAGCCTAGTACCATTACGGCCGTAGCCGGCCGCACGCTAGTAGCATTGTTTCTAGGGAAGTGTACACGCTTGGTAACCATCGTATTTAACCCGCATTTCGACTAATGAGAAAATAGATAATGATTCTCTCCTTGAGAGCAGCAGGGATATAACTCTGGAAATTTTAGTTGGACTAAATTCAATGTAAACAAACTGCAGTTCTCACGGGTCGCGCAAGCTACGATCGAGCATTCTTCGCAAGCCGCAGGCATCGCGTTCAGACTGATTCAGGCAAAAAAATGTAATAATTTTAATTAAAATATCAGTGCTGGGGGAGAAAACCCACAGAAAGGTAGCAGTTGAAGTGAAAGTGACATTGATGGTGATCTAATTGTGCCTTTGAGGGGTGATTCGGACAATGAGAATGAGGTCAATGAGGAGCATATGACTAGATCTAGATCTCCAACTCAGCTGATTTTATCTTCAATTATGAAATACAGTCAATACACACAGTAAACAAGTAATTTTGTTATTTAAATTTATTCATTTGTGAAGAACTTGTTTCAAGATTTTTTTTGATCAATGGATTGGCTATTTTATAATGATTTTTTCAAAATACCCGCTACATTACAAACATGGATTTATTCCCCTTTGCGTAGTCCTGAGCCATCTTCCTAAGTTACTGAAAATCCAATGGTACTGAGTGGGTTAAAAGATAAAACATTTTCTTGAATGTTCATTCATCGATTTGTCATTATTGTGATATATTAAGAACTTCTATTTGATCATTCAGGTTGTCTTCATCCTTGTTATTGATCATAATAATAATAATGATAATAATAATAATAATGAGTTACATAGTGCTCAATATGCTTTAGAATAGTGCAGAGAACATTGCTCCAGCAGTGATCCTTTCACTCTCTCCCTCTCTCCCTTTGTCTGTCTCTCAAGCTCTAGTGATTGTTTAGGTTTCACCTCATTAAGCAGTTGCTTTGTAATAGGAATCCACATAACATATGGTGTAATAAACAGATGTGAAATTCTCGTCAGTGGGAAAATTTTTATTACTGGCTTGGTGAAGATACTAGGCCTATATGAGGAGTCCACAGAAAAAACATAAAGAGTCTCAAGCTGAAAATAGTGAGGGTATCAATTTTGAACGCTTGTTGTCTCATAACTGTACTTCTTTTCCAACTTTTGATTGATTATTGTTATTAGATTTCCTTTTCAACAAACATAACAATAAACCACCAATCAAACAAATATGAAGTTATAAGTCCACAGGCTTTTAAAATTGACACCCTCACAATTTTCAATTTGTGACTATGCCGGTTTTTCCCGTCGACTTCTAATATGTTATTGCTTAAAAGAATGCTGTTGTGCCGTATCATCATTTCATGTCTAAATCTTTCCTAAAACTATCTGCATCTATAGATTTGAACATTGCTCAGTGTTACAGTTGAATATTATTGAACTCTGGTAAAAGCGCTGTATGTGCATGCCATCAATTTTTAAAAACTAAATGTATCTTTGCATTATGATGTTAATCTGAAGATATTTTTAATTATATTTTTTAGAATTAATTGTGCCGGTTGTGGGATCTGATTTATTCCATGCTGACTTATGTATGGATTTACTCATTGGTAATACAGTATTTTATTTTTTATTTTGGAGCCTCATGTCTTTTTTTTTTCTCTTGCTCTTATATGAAGTAGGTCAGCATTACTTGATGAAAGTATTAAGAGTTTATTTGAGTTAGATACAGATGATTTTACTAGAGTTTACTGGACTGTTTCTTCCTACCAAGTGTCCTGATGGGGACGAAATGCTTTGCCTTCAGAATGACCAACATTGTACATGTACATGTATGCGAAATGTGTAACTCCAACAACACCATTGTTTGGAGGTTGATTCTCATCACAGTAGACTTTTCTTAACACGAAGCCATTTAGTAAATTCATTTACCACAAAAGGATTTCAAATCCCTGGGGGTTTTTTTGCATTGCAACTTCCTATAACACAAAATCTGATCTTTTAACACATAGAAATTTTCTGGTCCACTGAAGTTTGTTTTATTGCAGTGTTACTGTACTAATCCCTTAGGGCTTTGGTCCCTGAACCTTTAGTAAATTAGAGCCCTTGCTCATGAGCTTCCTTGGATTGACTGCTAGGCTTGCACCTCTGCATCCTGAGGTGTGCGTTCACAGCGCTAGCAGAAGGGTGAAGGTAGTGCATGCTTGGGTCCAAAGGCACACACACATGCTCATGCAAACACACACACGCACACACACACACACATGCAGGCATGCAAATAAAGGCACGCGTACGCACGCACACACACACACACACACACACAAATGTAAACAACGTCACCTGCATGTTATCATTATGACATATTAATGACTACATGTACCTAGAACTCGTTGTGATTGTGCTCCAGGAGATGGTCTTCCAATCAAGTTGTATATTATTCTTGGTGTGCAGTTGTAGGATTCTCGAAGCAGATCATGTTGAAACAAATTACAGTATATCTTCTTTTATCTGTCTGTGTGTGTTTTCATTTTGAAATTAGTCTGATTGCATTGGCAATTTGTTTTCTTGGTTTCCTTTTTAGTTGTAGAATTTCTGTTGACTTTTGTTCATGTAGGTGAATAGGTTGGGGGTTCCATGTCACCGGGCGCAGAAGTGAAATAGCAACTTTGGGATGTATCTTGTGTAAAGAAATTTAATTAGATATATTATTTGTAGTAGTGGGTCAATCATGTGTCTGCAAAAGACGTATTCTTGCAAAATTTTAAAATTAAGAATATGCTGTTTTCGAAAATAATAGGATTTTATTTTCCTTTTTCAGTTGTGTTTTGCAGTTTGTTAGGACCAGTGGATGTTTAAAGTAACATACTATATTTTTCCAGCAGAGCAATGTTTGTCTCTTGATGGCATAGTTAAGTGAGAATTTGTTTTTGTAAAAGATTATGGTTTGTTTTGCTTTTTTGCTGTTATGCTTGACTTCCTATGCATATTTTCCTTTGCTTGCTTGTGTATTGGTACATCTGCTGACCTCCTCTTTGAGTTGTTTGGTGAATGCAGTATGCCAGAAAGTTCAAATGCTGAACAAGTTCTGAATGGATTGCTGCTTCTACTTAAAATGTATGGTGTAGGAATAAAACTATAAAGATTTCATCTATCGTTGGACTTCTCTTGATCAATACATTTTTTTAAAGCACGGTGATTCCTTGTGTAACTTGTATTGTGATAATGGCACTTCTGTTAGAGAGTAATTAGGCCCTACCATTTTATCAGAAGATATTACTTGTGACATTGAGGTATTCGCTTGTTCCTGAAGCTCCAGATTCTTTTCAGATCTTCCTAAAACATCAAGGGCTGGCACTAGCAAGAACAGCCAGAAATTGCAGACTAGCGTGGAAGAAAGTAGATTGAAGCAGAGGACAGAAATTTACTGAGCGATACAGGCAGCGAAGGGGTGATACTAGAAGAATTATAAATGAATATTATGTTGTAAAGCATACCATGATAACCCCCTACTCACACACACACACGCACACGCACACACATAACAAATTCAATCAATGCAATTTAGATCATTGAGGAGGCAGGATGTTTCGACCTCCCTGTCAAGGCCAATGTGGGCTGACAGGGATGCATCGTCCCAGAAGACACACATAGGTGCTCAATAATAAATTCAATTTTACAAAACTAAAAAGAAACCCTATTTACATGGGTCTCGAACTCATTTTCAGTGTGCGGCAGCGAAGCACCTAACCGCTACACCAAGATCACCAGTTATAAATTATAATACAGTGCGGATTATTTTGGAAGCAGCTACTGGAACTAGAAGAGCACAAAAAATTATGTTTGGGCAAGATTGGGAAAGTTCTCAGTTCTTGAAATTATGTATCTCGTGATGAACAAAATGGAGAAAATGTGTCTTCTGAATAACGTAAAGCTCTGTTAATGGAAGAGCAAGCCTCCTGCGTCTTTAGCACAACTCAGTGGCCACGGCATACACCCTCGTGTGTTGTTTTTGACCACCGATGCAGTCGCAACTAATAGATGACAGTCTTACTGTCACTTCTTTGGAATGCATGTATATATTAAATTATTAAATAAAAATACTATAAAAACAAACATGCCACTTAATTGATCATCTGGGGAAACTTGTTTTACATTGGTTCACATGGATAGTCCTACATTAATACACATAAATGCATTAATTAAACAACATACCAAACATATCCACATATCATCATTTTAGCCAAGGTTATTGTGTGTTGCGCAAGGACACGCCACATTTT